TTACCCAAATCATTCGGTCTTCTATTCTTCGACTTTCGTTCAGAGTCAGGATGTCACTGAAAACAACAAACCTTTATTAATAACATGGCTAAGTTAAACAATGTCGCCTCCGGAAAGCCGAATGTACCAGTCGGTAAATGTCTGCACGGGAGACTACCTGGCATGGTGGCCGGACCTTACCCCGTTTGTTTTTGCATGAAGGAACAAAGGGCACTACTCCTCTTCCTAACTAGGTTACGCGTCCATGCATGGAGAGGGGACTGTGTGCCACAATGACTTAGGCCAATGCCAGATGACAAAAGAAGAAGATAGATAGGAAAGAGAAGGAAAAAAACAAACAAATAAATGAACACCACAGAGCGCAGGGTGGGAATCGCAGTGGGCTAACGGTTAGTGTACTGTAATCCGAGTCGAGAGGTCTGGGGTCTAGGACTTGGCCGGATCATTGTGCTGCGTTCTTAGGCAAAACACTTAACTCTCACAGTGTCTCTCTCCACCCCGGAGGGGATAGTGGTGAAATGTCAGGGAAATCAAATGTTGGGGTAACCTCGTGATGGACCGGGATCCCATCCGGTGCAAAGATTGCTTTGATATTCATTTCTTAACCCGCAGTTCATTTATGTGATTTTCATGTATTCGCCGTCATTTATTCATCACTTCACGGGATTACTACTAATCATGATAATGTCCAACTTCCAGTTGGCTTGTTAGCTCAGTTGGTAGAGCCCTGCACCGACTTCCCAGAGGTCATGGGTTCAAAGCCCGTACGGGCCTGATTTTTTTTCAGGTCTAACTTTCACTCCTACTAAGTTCTGTTCATTACTGCGAAGATCGCTTTTATATTCAATACTAATACTCCTATCCTCTTCATGCAATGGAAACCAGAATAAGCTCCGGCTGGGTGGGCACTGGGCTCGAGTACAGACTTGACCGTGTTTTTCCGTCAAAGTGCAGGTGAGTAAACATAAAGGCTGGCTGGCATGGTGAGCAGGTAATCAGGTAAGCTATATCAAGCTAAACATACCTCCTTCCAAGATCCAAGTCTTCTGCAAGCTTGAGCCCAAGCACAGTGGGAAACAAACTCTGCCGTATTCCAAGGCTCGACTCTAAGTATTCCTCAAGACTGGATAAACCGGATGCTCTCCATAGCATGGTGGAAGTAAATAACTGGGACTGATCTGGCCTCCAATTAAAAGAAATGGCTCGGTTAGATAACTAAATCTGAAGTCTTAAATAGGGCTTTAAACAGATTCTGGCGCAAATACATGCGACAATTTATCAGATCGAATTCAAGAACAACTTACTCTTTTAATCTGCCTGAACAACATACGAGAATGTTCAATAATCCAATATGATCACTGAGGTTACTTGTGTGAATTATATCAAAGAGGGCATCCTTTGGTAGACCATCACGACAGAGGTCCAAGGCGTCTCCGTCCCAAAATGTAACCTGAAAGGAACGCGTGCGCATAATAGAACACCACAGCACCATTGAGTTATGGATGCACGCGGGAGGTTGCTAAGCACGAAAGAATCTCTAGAGTCGCGCGAAGAGTTCCTTTTTATTTGACACTGCAATCTTACGTACCCAAAAAAAAAAATTATGGTTGTGCAATTAAGTGTATAGGAGGTTACGAAATGGAGTTTCCAAGTAAAAACAATAAAGAGGACCACAGTAAAAAAAAAACGAAAATCAGCCAAGAGCCCATCCTCGGAGACCCAGGGGCTGTGAATCGATTTCAAGTTCAGGGCAGAAGAGCTCCTGGGGACATTGTCTTACAAGACTGGTTCCAAACGATCGCAGTCGTTCTGGCATCTGATTGGTGCCAAAAAATCTTTGTGTTTTTCTGCTCAATCAGAGTGAAGTGTCCTTTGGAGTCCTAATTCGTGTGTTTTAACACGCACATATACAACAAGCTCTGTTGCTCACTATGTTTGTTTGGGCTGCGCGATGAAGCTTTGCCCTGGGTGAAGATTTTTAGTCTCAGCACACAATGTAAGCGAAATCGATCAGATTGTCCGCGAAATCTTACCGGAAATTATACTGTATACTTTGCAGGTATCACAAGAGAACGTGTTTAAAAATTTGCGAGGTTCGTATAAAACACAATGGTTGCAGGCATTGATGTGTCGCTTTAAACGTTAGATGAGATGTAAGCTTAAATCTTTCTAGATTTTTTGTACAATTTGTTGTGACTGAAACTTTTCCAATCCCGTGAAGTTATTTCGTCGCACGGGCCACGCAGGTATGTCAAGCAACTGGCGCTTACGCTTACGTAGCTTTCTGTGCGCGCCAAATTCTAATCGTTGCTTTGTAGTAAAGTCTTTCGCAATATGGCCAAGGTTGCAGAGAACGTTAAGTACGTGGACGACCTCCAGCAAGCGCTTAAAGAAAGCTTAGCTGTGTTTCCGGTTAGCTAATTAAAATCTGAACAAAAACTAATCATCGAGAACATCGTGGAAAGGAGATATGTTTTCGGACAGTTACCGAAGGGGTTTG